GTGCTTCTCTTTCACAAACTGACATCGACGCATTGTACCCATAAATAGTGACTGAAGCGTATGATATTTATGTTTGATACTTGAATTAGAAAGCAAAATGACATATGTTCGTGGCCCTAGTTTTCACTTTTGATCATATGAATTACTTCTGAAATATCGTTTGATGTGTGCTATCCTAATCTTTCGTTGTGTCATATAGACAAAATACATTTTGATTTGTTACGTAGAATCATGACATTCACATGCCAATGTAATCGATTTCAGTTTGTGAAAGAGAAGCACAGCTGGAGTAATACTTTTGACGACCGAATTTTGATGCTGAATGTATTACTTGTACATTCTTGTGCACACCCTGAATTTGGAATACCACTGGTAGAATAGCCACTGAACATCGATTCGAGTAGATCTGCCAACTTTCAGCCATTGTTGACAAGTAAATTACATTGTATGATTGACATTGATATAATTCCTCCGACTTGTCTAACTCGGAGAATTACTACATAGGACTACAACTGGGAACGCTTGAAATCATATTTAACATTAACAACGATATTGATCAATATAATATCGAGCAGTTGTACAAATACAAAATGAGTCATCAGTACTACACTATAGCATCCGTTCTTCTTTTTCTGACCGCTTTGAGTGGAAAAATAGCAAATACTCAGCAGGGAGTGTAAGAGTATGTCAGCATAATCGTATCTTTACTACTATTGGAGATATATGAACCAACATCGAACTGGTCAAACCGTTTGCTTATTATCAAAAAGATAGCACCCACTTACTGATGAGAATATTTGAGAGAAAATGTCGAGCGCTATATTCTATTGACAGTTGATTGAACTAAATATTTCAGCTGGAATGTTAGCTGTTGGCGGATATAATTTTGATGGCTCTACTGAAAATACTGAAAAGCTATACAGTACGTCGATAGGCGTACATACAATGACAGATAAGTGTCAATTGCTTACAGTAAATCTACAACGAACAGAAACGTCTTGACTTCTAGAGACGAGTACATTATATAATTCATTTATTTCGATAATTTATAGATGTTGATATGAACTATATCCGAAAGTACAAGATGTCTTCTTTTCACTTGATTAAAAGTGAGCAGTAGAACAATATGATATCTAATTGTTTTTGGTCTGTTCTGGCGATTGATCCCGAAGGCCAGATTTCTGATGGGAATCACTGAAATGCAGACGGAAATTAGGTCATTCTGTGTAAAATAAAATCTACAACATACTGAAGATTGTGTGTCAGCAATCGATTGGTTATATTCAACGACTTGAAGCTTTCTTGAGCTTCTACGAAATTATCTTGCGGATCATAGCCGAGTAAGTCACATGTCGAATTGATATCCATTCGATTAAACGTATTACGTGATAGGCCATGCACAATTGCAAATTTGAGAGCCGGCGGGGCGTCAATACACCGTTCAAATAAATGAATTGCATCGGGTTCGGATAGCCAACTGTCCATACATGAAACACCTCTCGATTGGTTGTTTAAAAACGAATATGGTAAATAGGCACCTATCCGAATTGCGATTGTCGAAAGTCCCTCTTGCTCACCCATGTAACATCCAAGCGCTTCGCCAAAACATTTACTTACACCTACAGAAAAGTAAAAAATTCTTTCGATTGTGACAAAAGTTATTCACACCGTAAAGATCTCCTGGATTCACTGGATCGGACGTTCTAATTTGCTTATTCTTAGTATAACCTGAAACAGCATGAATCGAACTCGCATAAATGACTCTTTTTACGCCCGACTTCTTCGCTGCTAAAAATATATTGTACGTTCTATAATAAAGAATGAAATATGACTGTAAATCGAAACCTGATCAATACCCGATAATATTATTTTGTAATAATGAGTCCCATTTAGCACTTGCATCAGCAATTGCAGCCAAATGTAAAACTGTATCGACCCCTTCACATGCCTTTAGCAAGGTTTCGAGTTTCTCCAATTCAGCCTCGATAACATCACCATGTGGTGTTATTGCTTCGATCACATTTCGTGGATTCGAAGGATGAACCTGAATAAAACTAACTGCATGGTCGATTTAGTATAACATACCATACAAACCATTAACCGAAGTTTATACTTCTGTTTATTAGCATTTTTACTGAAATAGCTGCCGATAGTGCCTGCTGCACCGGTCACAAGAACACATCGTGTTGTCGTCATATCAAAATGAAAACGCACTCCCCAGAATCCAATGAATAAAAAGAAAAGAACAGTATCGACATACAGAGGCACATGATATTTTTTAATGTACGTATAAGAAACAAAAAATATCCTTGGACGAACAGGTAAAATAGTATATATACATCATCACGAAATAATTTTTTATTCGTTCTTCTCAGAAAAGAGGTCAATCTCTTTCACTTCAACCAATACACAGGAGCAGTTGTTCGAAAAAATCCGATGAATCCCCCAAGAAAAAATGCTATTATAAACATCGATGAAATTGCCATGATAATCAATTTCGGTTGAATTGGACTGTCATATTTACAAATATTCCAATACAAATTCGGACATATAACTAAGCCACTAAGAATTCCTAATAGAAATCCTCCAATATGCGCCATATAATCCACTATTGGAATGAATATGCCTATGATTAATGAAGCAATGATAAAAATTCCTTGAAAAGTTAGAATGAGCCAGGGCTTCTGCAAATTTTCCCAGTTGCGAATCGTATCCATGAAATAAACAGCCAGAAGCCCATACAATGCTCCCGACGCTCCCACGCTAGCTAAAAGCAATATACGAAACGTAAAACAACAATATCACGTCTCATTCACTTAAAATATTGAGGAAGTCCAATTGCGCTTAGCAGTGTACCACCAATACCTGACAAGATATATATAATACTAATACGAATGGAATTGAATTTGTGTTCTAACATAATTCCTATTGCCAGTTGATTTACTAAATTTAAGACTAAGTGAATGATACCAGCATGCAAAAATATTGGTATAAACAATCGATAAACTTGATATGGAAAGCCTTTTAAGTTGTTGGTATTACATACATACCAAAGATATTCTTCGTATGTACACGTTTTATTCGTAAAGGATATATCTGAAGGACATGCAGTAATAGTACGTAGATCATCTTCTTGTGTTGGTTTCATACAAGGAACAAACTTCGCACCATTACGAGTTGATGTTAGACTCGATGGTCCAGCCATTGGATTTTCATACATTGAAGTTAGACCTTTATTATAAACAATAATATATATAAATAATGCTATTTGAACGATGGTGACAATGATAACAAAAGATGGAAAGTGAGTACCAGCTTCACGCGGTTGTTCATCAATAAAGATCTTTTTTAACGATATCATTGTCAACAACCGATCGAGAAATCAACGTGAACACTAAAACATCGTCGTTCTGTTCTCTTTACCATTCATCCATCGATGCATATGTCCATATCAATCATATGAACTCAAACTGTTGCGGTGTTTTACGACTTTGTTGTTTACAATAATCTGCACTTTAGTGCAAGCAAGAGAACGACAAATTTTTTCATTGCTCACTTCCTGTTCACTCATCTGCGTCTTCAAAAAAAAACTTTCTCTAATGGAATAATGAGTGTTATTAGATGTCGCATGATGACGCTGGCCTTTGCAGGAGTTTACTTTTTCTCTAGAGGAAGAAATACAGGAAGTAACGATGAAAGTTCTCTATATATATATATCCACATTTTCCACTTAAGACGTATTTATTCAAAGACGCACAATAACAGACGAGCGGTGCAAAAAAAAGTTTACGCCTAATAAAAATAGTAGACATAATAAACAGGAATTTCTCTGATGTAGTTTCATTATTTTCAGCCGAAGTATGTTGCATACACACGATTATATCACGCTATGTTGAGCAACACCTAAGGGTGCCGTTCGATAATTGAACACCATCCCATGATTTTCAAGAGTAAAACAACACACAAGTTTTTGTACCGATTGTTTGAAATGGCTTCGAATTGATGGAGACACTACCATAAAGATATAGAAATTGAATATATGACCAGCGTAAGCCAGTACGCCGACAATCGTCAAAGCAAAGTTTTCATATACTCGATAAGAAGTACTTTTTTGTGTTGATTCAGTTAACAGATTGTAAATTGTTTGTCCGGCATAGGCAACCATACCAATCATGCCACACACTGCTTGAGCACTAACCATGCGTGTGATTTGTTGTTGAATCTGCGTTCGCATTTCTTGTTGATGAAGCAATCTCACATTGGTATATGTTAAAATAGCAAAAACAATTGTTATAACAGCAGGTATGAAGCCAAGTAGAAATGGTATAACAAAATACGCCATATAACCTTGATAGATTGCATTACCAGAGAGCGAACATGAAGTAACATTCGTGGTTTTCGAAACATTCAGTTGATTATAGATGATTAATGGAATATAACGCAGAACCGAGAGAACGAGAGTGAACCAGACTGTAAAATGAGCGATTCGCACCGAAGAAAGTTGCCGAAGGCGTGCGTGATGGGGTGTTAATAGATATTGATCGATCATTGCCCAAGTAATACAAAATAGAGCGGTATTGCCGGACACTTGCCCAAAATATTGTCATAGTTTACACCAAACCAGGGATGTTGATGACGGATCGATGTTGATAATTGGCAAGAAAATACGGGAGAGAAATGAAGTATTCAATATAAATAAATCAGCAATGGATGCGGCGAGGAGATAAACAGATGATGGATTGTTTTTCAAGCGTTTCATCGAGAGAAAGATGAGCAGGCATAGAAGATTGCCAATAGTACCAGAAGCATAGAAGAACGAAGCGATATACAGACTGATTTGATTGCTAACAGAATTGAAATAATCGATGGACAACGAGGACATTTTTGATTCTCAGGCGCACTTTTACAATACAAATAAAGAAATAGAATTTTTTCGTAATAATTTATGATGTCTGTGCTCTTAACATTACACTAGTTTCGTGTAAAAAAAGTGTAATGCTATTTTCTAGAAGGAAACGTGCTCAAATGAGTTTTGCGCATTACTACTCATATAGAACAGTCCTTTAAAAAGAGCTGGACGTGCTGTTGACGTGAAAAGTCGCAAGTCTAATCGTATTTGATGGTTTTCTGAAAAAAATTACTTTACTTTCGCAGCGTCGAACTACGTCATCACCATTATCTCACTCACCAGGTATCGAATAGAAATCTTATTTGTTTCTTTTTACACACGCAGAGAATTTGCTGGATGAAAGGATCTCTACTTGCTTTAGACAATGTCTCAAAGGATTAAACAGGCGTAAAGAGATTTCAATATTAACCGAAGACGTCCGCTTCTATGAGTTTTGTATACTGAATTTTAAAAGTTCAAAATGGTATTTATTTTTATTCAACAACGCTAAATTAATTGCCAGCAAAAATAGATTAATGCAAGAATATATGTAAAAACTATTTCAGAATAGTCACACATCTTAATTCGACGTTCTTTGATCGAATTTCTGATGTTTTTCTCTGTTAACGTCCAAAAGAATAGATTTCAATTCATCATTCAGAACGAAGATAATTTTCTACAAGTTTTATTTATCTGGTTTAAAATCTTTGGTAAAAAAAAACATCGAATGAATAGACAGCGACCCTCCTCGCAAATACACAATAAGCTGATTGTGTCAATTTAGGAACGACAGAATATGAGAGTAGATGGGCCAGGCTCATAGATAGCTTTTCTTATACTATAGTATGAAACAGTAAAAGTGAATTATGACTGATGACTCGCTTGTTGACAGATTTGCTGTTTTGATTGTCTTCGATTCAATCATTTCTTCCGTTCTTGACTCGCCAAACTTCTGCTATTAAATATACATCAAAACACATTCCAGCAGCCGCTAAAATACTATATGAATTGAAGTACATTCCATCTGGCACCTGAGGATGAGCAACGTCAGCTGGAGAAGTTTGATTTTTAACCATTATAACATGACTTTGATAAATAATACAGCATAGGAATCCCTTTTATCCATTGTTGAAAATGTTTTCGAATCGATGAAGAAACGGCTATGTAGATGTCAAAATTGAATGCATAACCAATATAACCGATGGTACTAACGACAGAAAGAGCAACATTTTCATCTGCTCGATAAAGAGAACTTTTCAGTGTCGGTGTAGTTAATAAATAGTGAACCGTTTATGCATTGATATATCAAGAAAACCACTAACCATGCATTTTAATTGTTTTTGAACTTGGTTTCGTATTGCTCTTAGACGAGGAGATTTTACGTTCGTATACGTTTAGATCACAAATATAATTGCAATAGCGGCTGATATAATACCAAATGGAAATGGTATGATGAAATAGGTTACCTAATTTTGATAAACTACACCACTGGAAAGTGAACATGAAGTGATATTTCTAGTTTTGGAAGCAATCAGTTGATTATAGATGCTTAATGGTATACTATGCAAAGATGCGACAAGAAAAGTAAATCAAACTATACAATATGCAGTTTCAATTGTTGGAAGATGTCGAAGGTATGATGTTGACAAGTATCGATCAATCATTGCTTAAACAGTACAGAAGAGAGAAATGATAGTTGAGATATTATCGCAGTTTACATTATATTAGCGATGTTGTCGATGGACCGATCGTAAAATTTGGTAAGAAGACTCGAGAAAGAAATGAAGTGTTTAAGATGAATAAATCAGTAATGGATGTGGTGAGGAGATAAACAGATGATGGATTGTTTTTCAAGTTTCTCATTGAGAGAAAAATGAACAGCCAGGAAAGATTACTGATAAGATCAGATATGTATAAGGAAGAGTCAAGATACAAGTTAATTTGTTCACTAATGTAGTTCAGGTATTTCAAAAGTTTTTGAGTCGTAAATGATGTCGTGCGTTCTTTCAGTTATTAAAATGAACAAGAACAGAGGTATCTCTTCTCCGATAATAGATAATCGCGACAGTATACTCGTTTGATTGAATTAATCCATTTTCATCACAGAGAGAATAATTGAATTCTCCAAAAGGAATCAAACTTAGATGCATTCTATACACAACTACACATGTAAAAAACTCTTTGAATAGCCTTAAACACGGCAAACAAGAACTGACTATGTTTTTATGCAGGAGATGCCGAAGGCACTTTTAAAAGTGTCCTCTGTTACAAAACATCATAATAGTCGAGCGTGTATTATAAGTAAAAAACGTTGCTCTCTGTGGAAGTTTCGAAAACTTATACTGAGTTCTTGAACACAACTTTTGCAATATTCAACGGTTAATCCATGCTACTTATTTTCGATATCTTGCAATTGTATGAGAGTCTATTTTTATCTTCTGACGTAACCGCTAAGGTATCGAGATTGTACCTTGAAAGCATAAAAACAATCATGATACTCTTGTCGTGTCGACTGTCGATACTGAATAAGACATCACTTCTTTCCCACTGTCACACACGTCGTCAAAAGGCAGTCATTCCCGTCAAAATGCGTCAATGACATTTCCCACCTACATGCGTTCGTCTAAGGACAAATACTCAAACACAGTGAATACAAAAAGACTTCTGTATGAAGTAATTCAATTGACTTTATTTTTTTCTCGTTTCATTAAATGTTTCACGTACATAAACGATGCTAGATATCGATCAACATCCGGTACAAAACTGTACATATAGTTTCCGATGAATGCACCGCCAATCAGGTCAATTGTATAGTGCCCTCGTGTTCCAAGCAATCGTATAATCTGTAATAGATTGAATATGTCACATGCAAACGATTCCCAACGTCGACCGATTCGTTTGAAATAAGTTCGAAAGAGAGCGAGAAGAGAAACATGTCCACTGAAGAAGAAGAAGAAGCTAACATGTCGATGCGGTTGACTTGTCATCGAATCATGAAATCGGTTGATGATCGAATCAGGAAAGTCAACACTACTTGGAAGATACTCAGGAGAATACGGTGATTGGGTTAGCCATCCACAGACAAGTCGTAGAGTAAACATACCGATTTCAACCACGACCATTCCTGGCCGACCTTGACAAAAACCAATGTATACAATCGAGTATAAAATTAAGAAATAGATCCCGAGTGTATTGATCAATGCCAAGCAGTGATGTAAGTTCTGATGATCATGGAGGTAACTGTGCACTGGTTGTGTTAGCCGAAAACCAGCATCGACCATCGCGAATGTTTGGTTTACTGGACGATTGTCAGTGTGAGATTCAATTAATGCAATGATGCAAAATATTCCTAAGACACAAATAAATGCTAGTAATCGTAATATCCATACCATTAACCGTATCGTCAGTTGATAAAATGACTGTTTAACATTTTCTTCCCCATCAACAACATTTTGGGATAAATCGTGTTTCTTAGGCATCATACTCACTCAAATGTATACTGCACAAACATTACATGTTCTTTCTTGTCTGTTTTCATAGGCGATTATCTACCAATGTACGAATCGTATTGCTGATGAGTCATTGTAAGCTATAACTAACGACATCTTTTGCTGATTTATTTTCAATACTAATCAAACACAGTAAACATGATTTTAAAAAGAAGTTCATCGTGACGAACCGCAAGTCTTGCGATTGTGATAAGCCGGAGCAGTTCGATTGATGAACATCGCACCATGATTATGATAATTAGAACAGCAAACGAATCTTTTCATCCATCGCTGAAAGCGTTTTCGAATCGACGGAGAAACGGCTACATATACATAAAAATTGAATACATAACCGGTGTACGCAAATATACCAGTGATTGTCAGGGCAAAATTTTCATACGCTCGGTAAGAAGTATCCTTTTGCATCGATACAGTCAAAAGATTATAAATTGTTTGTCCTGTATATGCAATCATACCAATCCAACCGAATATGGCTTGAGCGCTGACCATGTGCGTGATTTGTCGTTGAATCCGCGTTCGCATTTCTTGTTGATGAAGAGATTTCACATTAATATATGTTAAAATAGCAAAGATAAGTGCTATTACAGTAGGAAGTATACCAATCAGAAACGGTATGACGAAATATGCGACGTAGCTTTGATAAATCAGATTACCAGAAAGCGAACATGTAGTCATATTAGTACTTCTGGAAACATTCGGTTGGTTGTAGATGATTAACGGTATGCTATGTAACAGTGAGCAGATGAGAGTAAACCAGACTGTGAAATGAGCAATTCGCACTGAAGAAAGTTGCCGAAGGCGAGCGTGTTGTGATGTTAATAGGTACTGATCAACCATAGCCCAAGTAGAACAGAATAGAGAGGTGATAGCCGACACATGTCCGAAGTATTGACGCATTTTGCACCAAACTACCGATGTTGAGGATGGGTCGATCGCAAAGTTCGGTAAGAAAATTCGAGAAAGAAATGAAGTGTTCATTAGTACGAGATTTGCGATGGATGCGACGAGAAGATAAATGGACGGTGGATTATTTTTTAAACGTTTCATCGAGAGAAAGATGATCAGGCAGAGAAGATTGCTGATAATACCAGAAAGATAGAAGAATGAGGCAACATAAAGACTGATTTGTTTGCTGACATAATTGAGATAGTAGATTGTTGACGAGACCATCTCTTATTTTAAAAGTGTTGTTTTAACGTTGTCTAAATGTGTAAAATGAACAAAAGTATGAACTTCTCTCTTTTTATATAAGCTTTGACGTCAAATCTCATGAGACCTCATTAATTAATGTGCATCGTTAAAGAGAAAAAAATCATGCAATGTATAGCAAGAAACCATGCGTGCGTTCAGACTGTTTTAATCACTGTTCTGCACTTTAAAACAACCAACTTTCTATAAAACGCAACATAATAAAGGTCGTTGGAGCGTGCTCTAGTATTCGGCCCACCTTTTAAACCATATAAATCTCTCTCTATAAATCCATTAATTGGTGAATACATTGTTTCATACGCGGCCAATGTATATAAGAAACATACTGTGTGTGATATGAACGCATGATCTCTCCTGTAAATTTTTTCACGCTGCGTTTTATAATTAGTATAATCAAAGGAAGAATTCCAGGGATAAATAGTGCACTTTTCACATTACTGTTCACCCTTACCGCCAAGTACTAAACTGAGCAAATACGCTGTCGAATTTGTACACAAATAGGTCTTCTAGTGCAAACACGTTTATTTAAGGTGTCAAATATGCTTCATTATTTCAAGAGAAAAACCTATTTTCCTACCGTTGCTCTACATCATCGTCGATTCATTATGAGGCACAGAGGAAGACATCGATTTGTTTGTCACACATCTGAAGATCACTGTTCTACCATTGTCTCAAAAATGCATCCGTAGCGATTCGAACACGTTTATCCTGCATTTTGGAGTAGTAGAAGTAAATTGACTTCATTTATGGATGTCATTCAGTAGAGTGTCTGCATTTTCTTCAGAAGAAGTCGCATGTTTCAATTTGCTACCAAATGAACTCTTGTTCGATGTCACAACATAAGACATATCCCAAGTTTTCTTGCACAAGCACTTTTGTCACGATTCTCTCAGTATGAATCTATTTTCTGGAGCATATGTCACTTGTTTTATTTTTTTAAATATCAGACGAGCACTATTTCAGAGCTACTTTGATCAAAGAAGTGACTCAACAGTTATTCAATTTGTTCGTTTTAATTATGTGAAATCGTGTCGAATATAATCCATCTGCTTCTTTAAATAACAATGAAAGCAGATGTGCTGTAATTAGTTCTCGTCGACCCCTGCACGTAAGACGTTTCGGGAAAATGTGAATGTCAGGATTGTGCATGTCATTACGAGTTTAGTATTTGATCTTGATGGACATCAGTTTTGACAATAACATTCAAAGTACTTCAAAAACAAAACGTGTTTCATGCACCTTGAAAGTGACGAGAGACCATTTCAATATATGACTTGTAATGACGTAATTTCTTGTCAAAAATCACAAAAATATAAATCTCACAGTGCAAAAAATATCCTTAGTTATAAAATTAGCATCATGTCTGTATCGTAGAAGAAAAGGCTTCTAACATTGACATATTAAACTCAACACTTCCAAGTCAATGAGAAAAGACAATGCACTCGATTCTCTAAAATAATCCGGCAGCACTTATCTTTTTTCAAGCAACTACTCAAAACACAAGCAGTTCTTAATTAAACATTCTTCCATCGGCATTTCAAATATTTCTCTTAAAAATCTTTGCCAACCGGTTCAAATAGACTTCTAGCATGTCTAATACATCATCTTCATCTACGGTTAATATACGAGCTATGCAATTAAATCAAGCAGCATCATTAAGTGTATTGGTTTTATCATTGATCAGTGTCATTCCAGGTGGAATTGGTTTGATATTCAACATTTTAATTTTCACTCAGCTAGTATCACGAAATGAAGCATATGTAGTTTATTTCTTCTCCTCAACATGTTACAACATATTTATCGTCTTAATTATGCAACCACTTTGCGTTGTTGCAGCTAGTTCCAATCTAGACCTAGCTAATTATAATCTTGGAATATGCCAGATCCAGTGGTATGCATTATATGGCACACGAGCGATCGCCTCGTGGCTAATTGTTTTAGCTTGTCTCGATCGATTTTTTCATAGCTCATCGAACACATATGTTCGTCAATTGAGCTCATTAAAATCCGCCAAAGTCACTGTTATTATCAGTAGTATGATCATCCATATACCATAAAGTCATATGATTGTTTATTACGTATGGTCTTGATCGATTTGGAAATACTTCACCCTCATGCGGAGCACAACAAGGAACTTATCGAACATTCTTTGGTTTTTGGAATATGGTTATGCATTCACTGTGTCCGTGCGCACTGATGTTCTTGTTTGGTATGTTGACACTGAAGAACGTTCGTCGACATCGGCTTGTAATGCCAGTGATAACCGAAGCGAATCGCGCAGCTCAGCGAACAGATGCGCAAATTCTGTGTATGTTAACTGCACAAGTGTTCGTGACAATTCTATTTACGTTACTAACGGTGCACAATGATTTATACGCATCTTTCACGAGGAACTGGGTAAGGAATACATATGAAGTGGCTCAATTAAATTTATTAGGCCGAGTTACAGGTACTATACCGTATTTTGCACATTCAAGTACGTTTTATTTGTATACGCTGACGGATACAATTTTTCGTCGGGAATTAGTCAAGATTTTTCGACGATGGCTTCATCAGAGTCAAAATATCTTTATTACAACTCAAAACACAGAAGCCCATTAGTATTCACACTTAAAAAACTGTTTTAAAGTGCATAAGATCTTACAAATTTCAAAAAAGATTATTGCTTTCATGCCACTTCATTCTTAATAAACCCTTCTGGACGACTTATGCTGAAAAAAACATCATACAAATCCAGTCTGTTTTTGCAAACTGCAATAATCTGTTGACACATCGAATCATCTAAAATAAGGCTTTGATTATTAGACTATTGTGTCAATTTTCAATGTATTTACGATAAGATTTAATTTTAAATTCAGCGAGAAAGTGGCAATAAGCCATAACTTTCTTTAATCATAAATTCAATTTGTTTACGCTCGTGAATAATCCTCTGTGAACCATAGATATCTTTCATATCAGCAACCAACTAAGCGAAAAATAATACGACAACAGTCTACTGGTAGATACAATAATTCGGCTCATGCTGATTCGTTCACAAACTTTCCAAACAGCAAATAGTTAACCTCCAGTTAGTTCATTATAAAAATTGAGAACAAATGATAGTCAACATGTTGATAGTCCACATGTTGCATAATAACTCGAGTAAGTTAGATGGATTTCGCCGTGATTCAATGACTAACTGATCAATCAAAGTGCCAATCGTTGCTGATGAATTGCGGGACACAGACAGACGAATATACGAACATGTCGATGTTCCGCCGTATCTCTTTTACAATTGTTCATATCTACTCACGTCTGATCTATACACAGTGATATTTCGCATTTAACCTGATATCGGTGTATGAGGTAATTTAAACCGAATGCAATCCACCGGTTTTATCAGATATATTATTGGAAATAGATCCTGTGTTCTGAAAGTATCACCTTTATTCGCTGCAAAGAAGTCACGAGACAACGTCTTTGATTAATGAGCGAGAAATCTTTTTCATCATCATAGAAATCCACTTTTAGAACATAACTATTTAACCATTTTATTCTACTAGGTAAATTGTGAATTCTTGTTTTCATACGTTGTGAAAAATTTGAATTATTGAAGAAAAGAGCAAAATTATATTATTCCGTATTTGATTCTCATTTATAGTTGTATCTGGGTGATATAATAATCGAATGGTTCGATAGCAGATGTCGTGTGAATGATCTGAAATCTGTGTCACTGGTAAAAGAAAGCTTATAGTATGCAGCGCGAATGAAAGTATTCTCAATTAAAGAATAACGCTTTCATATATAAGAGTAGAAACCATATCCATGCCAAAAACCTTCCCTCAACGAAATTTACATAATACGGAGTGATTTCTTTCATTTGTATAGCATCTTTTACAAATATTTCAATCTCTTCTATGCTGGCCGTTACTGTTTATTGCATAAGTACAACAAGAAAATTATTTCCCAAGATAAAATATTCTCGATCTCTTCGAAATGTTAAAACGAAAACAACATGAATAAATTTGTTTCTAATTTTGTATTCTATTACTGGTTATGAATCGCAATTGATTGTACGAGTGCATATCCTGTATAGAATAAAGAGACATCGATTTTTATGAAAACAAACTATTACGAGAAAAAAGTGAATTTCTAATAGAATGGTATTAAAATGAAGAAATCGAATTAAAATTATAACACTTGTTAGTAAATTATCAAGTTGCATAACACTTTAAATATTCGGAAGTAACGGTCGACAAATAAATCGTTTACCCACTCTTTTTTCAATTTGAGTTTTTTCCCCAGTAGTTTTCGTTCGTTCTCTGGGGAAAAAATGCTCTTTGTATATGCGTATAAAAACTAGACGATCTTGTTACTTTGCATTTAGATTGTTGTAGTTATAACTGAGTCGATGGTGTCGTTGGTTGAAACATTATCAACTGTTCATTTGTCTAAAGGCGTGATAAAATTATCTGAAATTGATGTTCATCATGGGCAGATTCAACAATTATCGCCTCGTGTCTATGGCAACGGTAAGTAGACTGTTTCGAATATACAACAAAGTATGTCATAAAAATGTTTGTATTAGTTCGTAGAGGAGATGTGATTGTGATTTGGTTGGGGAGAAAAGAATCTTCGTTAAAAAATGCACTTATCGAATATTTAGTTCCTCGTGATATTACTTTAGTTCTTTTATCTATCGAAGAACAACTATGGTGTTGGTTGAATACATATTCATTATTAACAGTTGCTTGTTTAATCATTGAGACAAGTACAACAACAGCTGAAGAAGTGGCATGTCGTTGTAGAACGATTCCTTCAATTCGATCGATGTTGATTCGTTGTTGTTCACATGAACTAACTCGTTTACAACGAAGATTCAGATCGAATACGAAGATTGATGGTATATTTAGTGATGACACACGTTTGTTGATCAAACTAGTCATTGATCTTGCTCTGTTTTCTGAAGAAATTGGGGATGATCATGCTGAAAATGACAATGATGAAGTTAATATTCGAAGGAACTATGATCGTGCACTTAGTTTATGTGCACTCGCGAAAAGACTATAGATGAAATAGTGACTGTGAACCTGTAGACCAGATGATAACTATCAATAGCATATTTTTGAAGTGTTATTTTGATCCTTGTCAATATTTCTACGAGTAAATATCTCTTTTTTTAAATTTATGGATTAAAGTAACATCAAAACTTCTCTTGGTATAGACAAAGTCCAAGGTCAGGTGCAATCCTTATCACCTCTTAGTCCATTAAAAAGCGAGTAATTCTAGTTTAACTGATATATCAGCTGTAACTTTCCATAATCATACATTCTATCTGTTGGTAATAGTCTTAAATAACTTTGTCTAACGAACTACATATTTTTCTAGTGAGCAGTAATGAGAACTTGTGAAAGATGGTTCGTTTTTCTTAATCGATAAAGCAAGAGTTTTGATTCGCATGACGTATTGTTGATTTTCATTCTGTTCAATAAAATTATGTTAATCATAGTCTTTGAAGATGTATATTTATCCTTCATTCCATGGTAACGCTTAAGAGCGAGACATAGAAGACTATTACCATTCATTGCTGTTTGCAGGCACAGTAGCTCGATGCTTCTTGGTTCGTTCACAGACTTTTCAAAAAGCACACAAACCACATCAAACAAGATTCGACAATTCTTCAGTCAATTCACGATATAAATCCAGAATGGTAGTCAGCATATGTAACTATATAAATCCATTTCTTTCGACATATATGTATAGAAAGGCCAATGGCACGCATGTCGAGTAGTAACTCGAACGATTAGACAAATTCTTCCATGTTTCGCATACAATCGTTCATATTCATTCAAACTTGGCTCACATGATTCTATAAAGAGTTGATGGAGAAAATACTTGACTGTTGTGTTTTGTAGAAAACGAGAGTGGTCAGAGAATGAAAAGGCAAAGGAAAACACAAGGAGATGATCTTGACGTCTATCGATGCATGAATGATTGAAGTGATGAATTATATAGTAAACAATCCGCTTCTATGCGCGGTGGAGTAGATAATTGTACTTCATATGTTGAATTTTCTAGACGATCGTCAGGCGAATTCTTGCCTACGACTCTATGCTCTAATTACCAAAACGTATCTTCCTCTGTATAACCAATGTATTCCCTACAAGCACATGTTATTAGTATTTGAAAGTATATATTCGGATGTTTTGACTGAAAATCTATAGTTCATTCGTAATCCGAAGTAAATTCCATTGCACAATATATTTAACTATAAGGAATTCCTCGTGTGTTTCATATTAGCAATGTTTGTTGTTTTCAACTTGTTCCACAAGCTGACCCGGCTGAGCACCGAATGTCTTATTTGAAATAGCTTCTGATGTAACGAGATGTTGAGAGAATTGTCAATCATTTGTCGAACTATTCGACAAAATAAAGCAAGAATTTGAAAATGAGATGCTGCCATCACTCGGTAATCTTTCGACCGATATCTGCTTATATTCATAGAAGATAATGTTGAGGTGAATGATTGATAAACAAAATGACTTGCGTATATAGAATGACACTGACGATTGAATGGGAGGAACTGATTATGTCGAACGAATGTGTGTGAACATGGATTCCAAGGGAGACTGAATAGTCACAGAGTGTGTTTGGTTAATGTAACTAAAATGACTAATAAGCATGATGCGAATTACGAATAATGAAAAGAGAAATATCCATGTCGGTCATAGTTAATCAACAACTAGCATATCGTTTTAATTTACACATGACTTGAGCATTGTCGTTTGCGCCGTTTCCGAAAATAAAATGCGAGGATAATCTAATGAAACTACTTCGCAGTAATCGTAAATGAAAGAATCAAATAATAAAGTGTCAGGGGCACTATCATGAATTAAATTATTTATCGTGATAGAAGCAAAACTGGCATCCACTTTTCTGGAATTGAGCTTAAGCAGCCTGTGTTGAACATACTCTTTTTTTATTTAAGATTGCAAATACGATTTCTAACCAGCAGGTCTCTGTAAGTATTTTTCATAACTATACAGTTCAAATATTGAGAACAAACTCGGCTGATTTGTTCCACTTCTACTAGAGATAGTTGAATCTCTTCATGATCTTGGGTTAGTTCATTCCATATATTCAGGGAGAAAACAAAATCGAAAGAGTATGTCGTACTATGTTGCAGACAGAGCTGATGGAAGTCGCATCATTACTAACCCTTTGCATTCAATTTGTTCCTAGATGAATGTTGAGGTCAGTGTTTGTTGTTCTTAATCTTAAATGAATTGTATAGCAGATTTAGTTATATTCAACTGGTAAAATCACTTGTATTATCATATTACGTATTCTATTCGTTGAAGATACTTTCATTTCTCAACCCACTCCAAAACTATGTCATTCAAGCTTGATCCGTTGCCTCACAGTATCTATAGGAACAAATACGGCAGCATCTATCTAAATTTAAGACAGATGGTACGTATTTGTCGATGACGCAGAACACCTGATCTTTAGTCTTTTGTTGTTCGATGCTAACTATGCCCAACACTTAAGCATTACATGCTTAATAGAGCATTATATTGTCGAAAAACTGAATATCTGTGAGATTAGAAAGATCATTTACCATTCGTATATTTCGATCATTAAAAATTTTAATCAATATTCCGATAGTTATATTTTCCAAAAAAAAATTGAACTGTTTCTCTATCTACCAAGTATAAACCCACGCGTAGGATGTAACGACTGATGTTGTAGGCGATCCAATTGGATTTCCATCTTGATACACAATACATTTAAAGCCTCGTTCATCGAGCACATCGCCGTTTCTCCACTCAAATCGAAAACCATTGTCAAAAAAGATCGGATCGACGTCATGCATACGGTAGGCCGACCATTCTAGAGTATTATTTGATACCTGTCGGAAATGTGTAAAGCCTGACACTTCAAAGCGAAACTGTCCACCATTGAAATAGAAGGCACTATCAAAATAATCCTCCGTACCAGTCGCTATGATAACACCAGGAAATGCTTGCGTGTAATCGGGATAAGCATGGTAACATCCTTCGAGAAATTCCAAATTGCCACTAGTTACTGCTAGACTATGCGAAAGAAGAAGACCTTCACCGGTGGGAATGTCAACAAGGCGAACCCATGCGAAAGGCTCATATGTTTTGTTTTCAATTTTGTGTAAAGTTAATCGCGCGTTCGGTGGAAGTTGAAAGCCATGGAATGACGTTGTTAAGTTTTCTGTACCGCGCACGATTATCCAAATCATTTTTCTATCGATGATACCCGAGGGCAAACGACCAGTTATTCGAATCGATTTTTGGAAAGGTACTCGACTAGAATATGATTATTTAGAAATCGTCAAAAACTGCATGTAACTTACAAATTGTTGTACCAAGCGCCACCTTTAGCTCCTTTACCCATCCATGTCGTACCCCATGGCGCTGTCTGATCGTTGAAACCAGCACCAGCTACCATGTAGCTGACAAACTCAATCGATGGAACGCTTTCACCGTCAATGTAATACGAGAATGTCGATAGATCAATCGCTAAGTTCGAAGATAAGCAATAATTCTGACGAAATAAATTCTTACTTACCTGGATCTCCCGTTACCCAAAAATGTGTCATGACTCCCCATGATGAACGCGCACTTAGCGTATAATTGAAAATTTCAGACTAAAAAATATATCTACTACCAGCAAACTCATCATTACAGATTATTACCTCGTTTGGATATAACCACTGCGACGAAAGACCGACACCGAATGTTCTCAAACTTTGAGCCGGTAAAACCACCGCAGATACAAATATCACAAGCCACATATGCATCTTGATGAATACTTACCAAGATATCTCAAGCTGTCGTTATGATTCTTATCTTTCCTCTCTGTGCTATTTTATCATTAGTTGACTATTGACATCACAAACTTACTCGAGCTCTACCAATCATCGAAAGTGAGGATGAAAAATAATACCATTTTCGAACTATATTATTCCACACTTGTTCAGTTTTTCATATTTGCATCATTTTTTATTTTCGATATTATTTAGTTGCGTGTGTGTTATGGAATATGACGCTGAGACGTAATTATTCACACTTTTTTTCTAGTTCTAATTAGAGACATGTTTTATCTTTTGTCTATTAGATCGTCCAGTATATTAATTCGAAAGCCAGAAGTTTATTTCGGGGCGTCTATTTAAATTGCAGGTAAGATTTCGTATTGCCCGAAATGGAAAAAAATCCAATGAAAAGTTTCTTCGCTTGTTGTGTACGATGTCTGTTTTTTTTTGTCCTTTCTTTAAAATGATTGTTTGTATCTACCGAACGGGAGAAATACTGGTAATTTTATTCGTTGATCGATGGTTTCGCACAGTAATTGATAAACACAAAAGACAAACTGCATGGTATCTAAGATTACAGTTTGTTGGTAATGAAAATATAAAGAGGATTGTAAACGAATAGCATTACAACTGATGGATTTAAGACAAGAAAAAGCGTTAACAACACCATTGATTGCGAGACGTATAATGGAAGCATAATGATGAAGGTGGCGGATAGAGAGAAGCATACTTTTCTTCAATGGCTTCTGTTATAGTTTGATTTGTATTTAAACACAAATAAAATTAAACCACAAATTGTACATCCCTTGTGTATTTGATTTTCGTCACTAAAAAGTACATTACTCTGATTTGTCGTTATTTTCTTGGCCTTCGACATCCTTTCATAAATTCATGATAGATGTGGGCATTTTCCCACAGTAATGTGCAGCTTTCTCTGTTTCTACTGTCGAGAAGAGAACAGACGCACAATTCTTTGCAAACAAAACATAAACATATTCCCATTCAACATGAAATCGACTAAAGTCAATGTTGTGGAATCCGGCATCGATAGTGGCAAACCAATCCGTGGTCCATCCGCAATTGAATACGATCAGATAGGGACAAAATCTGCGCAAGAATTACTCTACGAAGTAACAAAGAGTTTCTTTTCAGCAATTAATATCTTCAGATATGTTTAGAGTGCATCCGAATCGAATTATAAAAAAGCAGAAGAAAAATGGGCGAAATTTGTAACAAAAATCAAGGAGGAGGGATTGAGACGACATCAGATCGAAAAACTCATCAAATGTTTAGATGAACAAAAGCAATGGTCAGCATTACATTATGCTGTGTTCAATAACAACTTGTTCGTCACGAAAATTCTGGTTGGAGCAAGATATATACATGACGATAAGCCATACAAATGCGGTGAGTGTATCAAGAACATTGCTGGTTCACTTAAATGGACCTCGTTTAGATTTGAATGTTCTTGGTGGAAACGGTGAAAATGTTCTCCATGTCGCTGCACAATCAAATCCACTTTGGTCTCATCAGAAAGAGCCAACACGAACTTCGCAAATCTACACATCGGATGCGTATAGAAATATTCCGGACGTGGTCAAAATACTCGTCGATTCAACACGATTCGACCAAAAGATTGATATCAATCATCAAGACGACGAAGGTCGAACACCGCTCCACCTAGCAGTGATGGCAAATCGTCTTGCATTTGTCGAGTATTTGCTTGAACGTAAAAGTCGAGTTGAAGTACGGATGAATCATACGGCATTCAATTTCCATTTTGTCTATTGATAGATCAAAACAAAGCTCAATGCTAATGTATTTCATTTCATGTTTATTCGTTGTGATCCCATTCAATCAAGTCATGATCTTCAGACGATGTTCAATCGTCTTTGCGCCGGAATGAACGATGAAAAGAAACCTGCTCTATTTCAGTCTCGTACACTTGATAATCGAAGTCCGCTGGTATTCGCTGTCGGTCATCCCCATTGTCCAGAGAGTATTATCCGACAACTGGCTGAGTATAACGATGACAATAGTCAATTGATCTTGGCATTTGATACAGTGGCAAAACGACGGATCAGAAACTTTGATGTCTTGAAACCATTATTGAAACGTTTTGAAAGGGAGATAAGTTATCAAAACGAATTAGTACAAGTTGTTTGCCGTCATGATTATATACAGATTCTCCAGTGGTTGCTGTCAAACAAGTACATCACCTGTAAGTTTTGAACAATTGGAGAAAACTATATAAGCTTTCATATATCATTTAGATCAAGCGTTGGAGATCAGAAATTATGCGGGATATTCACCATTATTAACTGCGGNTGATAGGCCATGCACAATTGCAAATTTGAGAGCCGGCGGTGCGTCAATACACCGTTCAAATAAATGAATTGCATCGGGTTCGGATAGCCAACTGTCCATACATGAAACACCCCTCGATTGGTTGTTTAAAAACGAATATGGTAAATATGCACCTATCCGAATTGCGATTGTCGAAAGACCCTCTTGCTCACCCATGTAACATCCAAGCGCTTCGCCAAAACATTTACTTACACCTACAGGAAAGTAAAAAATTCTTTCGATTGTGACAAAAGTTATTCACACCGTAAAGATCTCCCGGATTCACTGGATCAGACGTTCTAATTTGCCTATTCTTAGCGTAACCTGAAACAGCATGAATCGAACTCGCATAAATGACTCTTTTTACGCCCGATTTCTTCGCTGCTAGAAATATATTGCACGTTCTATAATAAAGAATGAAATATGACTGTAAATCGAAACCTGATCAATACCCGATAATATTATTTTGTAATAATGAGTCCCATTTAGCACTTGCATCGGCAATTGCAGCCAGATGTAAAACTGTATCGACCCCTTCACATGCCTTTAGCAAGGTTTCGAGTTTCTCCAATTCAGCCTCGATAACATCACCATGTGGTGTTATTGCTTCGATCGCATTTCGCGGATTCGAAGGATGAACCTCAATAAAACTAACTTCAAGGTCGATTTAGTATAACATACCATACAAACCATTAACCGAAGTTTATACTTCTGTTTATTAGCATTTTTACTGAAATAGCTGCCGATAGTGCCTGCTGCACCGGTCACAAGGACACATCGTATAGTCGTCATATCAAAATGAAAACGCACTCTCCAGAATCCAATGAGTAAAAAGAAAAGAACAGTATCGACACACAGAGGCGCACGATATTTTTTAATGTACGTATAAGAAACAAAACAAATATCCTTGGACGAACAGGTAAAATAGCGTATATACATCATCACGAAGTAATTTTTTATTCGTTCTTCGCAGAAAATAGGTCAAGCTCTTTCACTTCAACCAATACACAGGAGCAGTTGTTCGAAAAAATCCGATGAATCCCCCGAGAAAAAATGCTATTACAAACATCGATGAACCTGCCATGATAATCAGTTTCGGTTGAATTGGGCTGTCATATTTACAAATATTCCAATACAAATTCGGACATATAACTAAGCCACTAAGAATTCCTAATAGAAATCCTCCAATATGCGCCATATAATCGACTATTGGAATTAATATGCCTATGATTAACGAAGCAATGATAAAAATTCCTTGAAAAGTTAGAATGAGCCAAGGCTTCTGCAAATTTCTCCAGTTGCGAATCGTATCCATGAAGTAAACAGCTAGAAGCCCATATAGTGCTCCCGACGCTCCCACGCTAGCTAAAAACAATATATGAAACGTAGAACAACAATATCGCGTCTCATTCACTTACAATATTGAGGAAGTCCAATTGCACTTAGCAGTGTACCACCAATACCTGACAAGATATATATAATACTAATACGAATGGAATTGAATTTGTGTTCTAATATAATTCCTATTGCCAGTTGATTTACTAAATTTAAGACTAAGTGAATGATACCAGCATGCAAAAATATTGGTATAAACAATCGATAAATTTGATATGGAAAGCCTTTTAGGTTGTCGGTATTACATAAATACCAAAGATATTCTTCGTATGTACACGTTTTATTCGTAAAGGATATGTCTGAAGGACATGCAGTAGTAGTACGCAGATCATTTTCTTGTGTTGGTTTCATGCAAGGAACAAACTTCGCACCATTACGAGTTAATGTCAGACTCGATGGTCCAGCCATTGGATTTTCATACATTGAAGTTAAACCTTTATTGTAAACAATAGTATATATAAATAATGCTATTTGAACAATGGTGACAACGATAACAAAAAATGGAAAGTGAGTGCCAGCTTCACGAGGTTGTTCATCAATAAAGATCTTTTTTAACGACATCATCGTCAACAACTGAACGGCAAATCAACGTAAATACTAAAACATCGTCGTTCTGTTCTCTTTCGTTATATGGATTTCAATAGATTAGAAAGCCATGAATGTTCTTTTTACCCATTCATCCATCGATGCATATGTTCATATTAATCATACGAACTCAAACTGTTGCGGTACTTTACGACTTTATTGTTTACAATAATCTGCACTTTAGTGCAAAAGCATAAGAGAACGACAAATTTTTTCATTGCTCACTTCCTGTTCACTCATCTACGTCTTCAAAAATAAACTTTCTCTAATCAAATAATGAGTATTATTAGATGTCGCATGATGACGCCGACTTCTGCAGGAGTTTACCTTTTCTCTAGAGGATGATATACCGGACGTAACGATGAAAGTTCACTCTCTCTGTATCCACATTTTCCATCCAAGACGTATTTATTCAAAGACAGACAACGACAGGCGAGCAGTGCAAAAAAGTTTACGCCTAGTAAAAATAGTAGACATAATAAACAGGAATTACTCTGATGTAATTTCATTATTTTCATGCGTAAAACAACACAGGAGTTTTTGTACCGATTATTTGAAATGACTTCGAATTGATGGAGACACTCCCATAAAGATATAGAAATTGAATATATGACCAGCGTTAAGCCACTACGCCGACAATTGTCAAAGTAAAGTTTTCATATACTCGATAAGAAGTACTCTTTTGTGTTGATGCAGTTAATAGATTCTAAATTGTTTGTCCAGCATAGGCAACCATTCCAATCATGCTGCACACCGCTTGAGCCCTGAGCATGCGCGTGATTTGTTGTTGAATCTGCGTTCGCATTTCTTGGCGATGAAGCAATTTCACATTGGTATATGTTAAAATAGCAAAAACAATTGTGATAACAGCAGGTATGAAGCCAAGTAGAAAGGGTATAACAAAATATGCCATATAACCTTGATAGATTCGCACCGAAGGAAGTTGCCGAAGGCGGGCGTGGTGGGATGTTTAATAGATATTGATCGATCATTGCCCAAGCAGTACAAAACGGAGCGGTATTGCCGGACACTTATTCAAAATATTGTCGTAGTTTACACCAAACCAGGGATGTTGATAATTGGTAAGAAAATACGGGAGAGGAATGATGTATTCAATATAAATAAATCAGCAATGGACGCGGCAAGGAGACAAACAGATGATGGATTGTTTTTCAAGCGTTTCATGGAAGAAAAAATGAACAGGTAGAGAAGAGCGAAACGACATACAGACTGAGTTGATTGTTAACAGAATTGAAATAATCGATGGACAACGAGAACATTTTTGATTCTCAGGTGCACTTTTACAATAAAAATAAAGAAATAGAATTTCTTCGTAATAATTTATGATACCTGTGCTCATAACATTACATAAGTTTCGTATAAGAAAAAACGAGTAATGTTATTTTCTAGAAGGAAACGTGCTCAAATGAGTTTTGCGTATTACTACTCATGCAGAACAGCCCTTTAAAAAGAGCTGGACGTGCTGTTGACGTAAAAAGTCGCAAGTCTAATCATGTTTGATGGTTTTTTGAAAAAAATTACTTTACTTTCGCAGCGTCGAACTACGTCATCACTAGTATATCTCTCGCGAGGTATCGAATAGAAATCTTATTTGTTTCTTTTTACACACACAGAGAATTTGCTGGATGAGAGGAGCTCTACTTACTTTAGACAATGTCTCAATGGATTAAACAACCGTAAAGAGATTTGAATATTAACCAGAGACGTCCGCTTCTATGAGTTTTGTATACTGAATTTTAAAAATTCAAAATGATATCTATTTTTCATTGAAGAACGCTAAATTAATTGTAAGCAAAAATAGATTAGTGTAAGAATATATGTAAAAACTATTTCTGAATAGTCACACATCTTAATTCGACGTTCTTTGATCGAATTTCTGATGTTTTTCTTTGTTAACGTTCAAAAGAATAGATTTCAATTCATCATTCAGAACGAGGATAATTTTCCACAAGTTTTATTTATCTGGTTTAAAATCTTTGGCAAGGAAAACATCACGACCTTCCTCGCAATACACGATAAGCTGATTATGTCAATTTAGGATCGACAGAACATGAGAGTGGGTGGATGAGGCTCAGAGATAGCTTTTCTTATACTATATTGTGAAACAGCGAAAGTTAATTATAAGTAGTGGTCCGATTTCAGACAGCTTTGCTATTTTGTTGGTCTTCGATACAATCATTTCTTTCGTTCTTGACTCGCCGAGCTTCTGCTATTAAATATACATCAAAACACATTCCAATAGCCGTTAAAGTATATTCAAATTTACGCGTTTCTGTTTTATTGCTTGACAAACATGATGAACGTTAAAAACTACGAAGAAAATATTATTTATTCATCTGCCTGCAGTTTTCAAAACGTACCAAATGCAGCTATGTCTACTGATGGCTAACTGGGACAAAGTTCTTCATATCTACGCGCTCGCCCATATACTACTATACGAATTGAAGTACATTCCTATCTGGGACTTGACGATGAGCAACGTCTGCTGGAGAAGTTTGATTTTTACCCATGGTATAACATGACTTTGACAAATAATACAGCATAGGAATCTTTTTATTCATTGTTGAAAATGTTTTCGAATCGATGAAGAAACGGCTATGTAGATGTCAAAATTGAATGCATAATCGATATAACCGATGGTACCAACGACAGAAAGGGCAACATTCTCGTCCGCTCGATAAAGAGAACTTTTCAGTGTCGATGCAGTTAATAAATAGTAAACCGTGTATGCATTGATATATCAAGAAAAACACTAGCCATGCGGTTTTATTGTTTTTGAACTCGGTTTCATATTGCTCTTAGACGAAGAGATTTTACGTTCGTATATGTTAAGATCACAAATATAACTGTAATACCAGCCGGTATAATACCAAGTGGAGATGATATGACAAAATAGGTTACGTAATTTTGATAAAGTACACCACTAGAAAGTGAACATGATGTGATATTTGTGGTTTTGGAAGCAATCAACTGATTATAGATGCTTAACGGTATACTATGCAAAGGTGCGACAAGAAAAGCAAATCAAGCCATACAATATGCAGTTTCAATTGTTGGAAGATGTCGAAGGTGAGCCAGGTATGATGTTGACAAGTATTGATCAATCATTGTATAAACAGTACAGGAGAAAGAAATGATAGTCGAGATATTGTCGCAGTTTACATTAGACTAGCGATGCTGTCGATGATCCGATCGTAAAATTTGGTAAGAAGACTCGAGAAAGAAATGAAGTATTCAAGATGAATAAATCAGCAGTGGATGTGGTGAGAAGATAAACAGGTGATGGGTTGTTTTTCACGTTTCCCGTTGAGAGAAAAATGAACATGCAGAGAAGATTACTGATGAAACCAGATATGTAAAAGGAATACTAATGCAGTTGAGGTATTTCAATGGTTGTTGAGTCGTAAATGATGTCGTGCGTTCTTTCAGTCATTAAAATGAACAAAAAACAGAAGTATCTTTTCTCTGATAACAGACAATCACGACAGTATGCTCGTTTAATTAAATTAATCCATTTTTATCACAGATAGAACAATTGAATTCTCCAAAACGAATCAAACTTAGATGCATTCTATACACAACTACACATGTAATAAAACTCTTTGAATAGCCTTAAACACAGCAAACAAGAACTGCCTATGTTTTTATGCAAGAGATGCCGAAAGCACTTTTAAAAGCGTCCTCTGTTACAAAACACCATAATAGTCGAGCGTGCATTATAAGTGAAAAACCTTTCTTTCTATGGAAGGTTCGAAAACTTGTACTGAGTTCTTGAACTCAACTTTTGCGATATTCAACGATTAATTCATGCTACTTATTTTCGATATCTTGTAATTGTATGAGACTCTATTTTTATTTTGTGACGTAACGGCTAAGGTATCGAGATTGTACCTTGAAAGCGTAAAGAATCATTATACTCTTGTCACGTCGGGTGTCGATACTGAATAAGATATTGCTTCTTTCCCACTCTCACACACGTCGTCAAAAGACAATCATTCGCGTCAAAATGCGCCTATGACATTTACCACCTACATGCGCTCGTCTAAGGACAAATACTCAAATACAGCGAAAACAAAAAAAAGACTTCTGTATGAAGTAATTCAATTGACTTTATTATTTTCTCGTCTCATTAAATATTTCACGTACATAAACGATGCTAGATATCGATCGACATCTGGCACATAACTGTACCTATAGTTTCCGATGAAAGCACCGCCAATCGAATCGATTGTATAGTGCCCTCGTGTTCCAAGCAATCGTATAATCTGCAATAGATTGAATATGTCACATGCAAACGATTCCCAATGTCGACCAATTCGTTTGAAATAGGTTCGAAAGAGAGCTAGAAGAGAAACATGTCCACTGAAGAAGAAGAAGAAGAAGAAGAAGAAGAAGCTAACGTGCCGATGCGGTTGACTTGTCATCGAATCAGGAAAGTCAACACTATTTGGAAGATACTCAGGAGAATACAGTGATTGAGTTAGCCATCCACAGACAAGTCGTAAGGTAAACATACCGATTTCAACCACGACCATTCCTGGCCGACCTTGACAAAAACCAATGTATACAATCGAGTATAAAAGTAAGAAATAGATCCCGAGTGTATTGATCAATGCCAAGCAGGAAGATAACTGTGCACTGGCTGTGTTAGCCGAAAACCAACATCGACCATCGCGAATGTTTGGTTTACTGGACGATTGTCAGTGTGAGATTCAATTAATGCAATGATGCAAAATACTCCTAAGACACAAAAAAAATGCTAGCAATCGTAATATCCATACCATTAATCGTATTGCCGGTTGATAAAATGGTTGTTTAACATTTTCTTCCCTATCAACAACATTTTGGGATAAATCGTGTTCCTTAGGCTTCATACTCACTCAAATGTATATGACGCAAACATTACATGTTCTTTCTATCGTATTACCGATGAGTCACTGTAAGCTATAACTAACGACATCTCTTGCTGATTTATTTTCAATACTAATCAAGCGCAATAAACATGATTTTAAAATGTAGTTCATCGTGACGAACCACAAGTCTTGCGATTATGATAAATCGGAGCAGTTCGATTGTTGAACATCGTACCATGATTGTGATAGATAGAACAGCAAACGAATCTTTTTATCCATCGTTGAAAGCGTTTTCGAATCGACGGAGAAACGGCTACATATATATAAAAGTTGAATACGTAACCGGTGTACGCAAGTATACCAGTGATTGTCAGGGCAAAATTTTCATACGCTCGGTAAGAAGTGTTCTTTTGCATCGATACAGTCAATAGATTATAAATTGATTGTCCTGTATATGCAATCATACCAATCCAACCGAATATGGCTTGAGCGCTGACCATGTGCGTGATTTGTCGTTGAATCCGCGTTCGCATTTCTTGTTGATGAAGAGATTTCACATTGATATATGTTAAAATAGCAAAGATAATTGCTATTACAGTAGGAATTATACCAAGCAGAAATGGTATAACGAAATATGCAACGTAGCTTTGATAAATCAGATTACCAGAAAGCGAACATGAAGTCATATTAGTACTTTTGGAAACATTCGGTTGATTATAGATGATTAACGGTATGCTATGTAACAGTGAACAGATAAGAGTAAACCAGACTGTGTATTGAGCAATTCGCACCGAAGAAAGTTGCCGAAGGCGAGCGTGGTGTGATGTTAATAGGTACTGATCAACCATAGCCCAAGTAGAACAAAATAGAGAGGTGATAGCTGACACATGCCCGAAGTATTGACGCATTTTGCACCAAACTACCGATGTTGAGGATGGGTCTATCGTAAAGTTCGGTAAGAAAATTCGAGAAAGAAATGAACTATTCATTAGTACGAGATTTGCGATGGATGCGACGAGAAGATAAATGGATGGTGGATTATTTTTTAAACGTTTCATCGAGAGAAATATGAGCAGGCAGAGAAGATTGCTGATCATACCAGAAAAATAGAAGAATGAGGCAACATAAAGACTGATCTGTTTGCTGGCATAATTGAGATAGTAGATTGTTGACGAGGTCATCTCTTATTTTAAAAGTGTTGTTTTAACGTTATTTAAATGTGTGAAATGAACAAAAGTATGAATTTTTCTCTTTTTATATAAGCATTAACGTCAAATCTCATGAGAACTCATTAATTAATGCGCATCGTCAAAGAGAAAAAAAATCATGCGATGTATAGCAAGAAACCATGCGTGCGTTCAGACTGTTTTAACCACTGTTCTACACTTTAAAACAAACAACTTTCTATAAAATGCAACATAATAAAGCTCGTTGGGGCGTGCTCTAGTATTCGGCCCACTTTTTAAACCATACAAATTTCTCTCTCTATAAGTCCATTAATTGGTGAATACATTGTTTCATACGAGACCAATGTATATAAGAAACCTACTGTGTGTGATATAAACGCATGATCTCTCCTTTGAATTTTGTCACGCGGCGTTTTATAATCAGTATAATCAAAGGAAGAATTCCAGGGTTAAATAGTGTACTTTACACATTACTTTTCACCCTTGCCGCCAAGTACTAAACTGAGCAAATACGCTGGCAACTTTATACACAAATAGGTTTTCTAGCGCAAACACGTTTATTTAAGGTGTCAAATATGCTTCATTGTTTCAAGGAAGACATCTATTTGTTTGTCACGCATATCTGAAGATCTTTGTTCTACCATGGTCTCACAAATGCATCTGTAGCGATTCGAACACGTTTATCCTACATTTGGGAGTAGTAGAGGCAAATTGACTTCATTTATGAATGTCATTCAATTCAGTGTCTGCATTTTCTTCAGAAAAAGTCGGGTGTTTCAATCTGCTACCAAATGAACTCTTGTTTGACGTCACAACATAAGACATATCCAAAAGTTTCTTGAACAAGCAATTCCGTCACGATTCTCTCACTTTGAATCTATTTTCTGGAACATATGTCACTCGTTTTATTTTTTGAAATATCAAACGAGCACTATTTGAAAGCAACTTTGATCAAAGAAGTGACTCGACAGTTATTCAATTTGTTCGTTTTAATTCTGTGAAATCGTGCCGAATATAATCCATCTGCTTCTTTAAATAACAATGAAGGTATATGTGCTGTAATTAGTTCTCGTCGGTTTCTGCACGCAAGACGTTTCGGGAAAATGTGAATGTCAGGATTGTGCATGTCATTACGAGTTTAGTATTTGATCTTGATGGACATCAGTTTGAACAATAGCATTCAAAGTATTTCAAAATGAAAACGTATTTCATTTGTCTTGGAAGTGACAAGAGACCATTTCAATATATGCCTTGTGGTGACATAATTTCTTGTCAAAAAATCACGAAAATATAAATCTTACAATGCAACAAATATTCTTAGTTGTAAAATTAGCATGGTGTCTGTATCGTAGAAGAAAAGGTTTCTAACATAGACATATTAAACTCAATACTCCCAAGTCAATTAGTGAAAATTGAAATTTCTTGACAAGTAGAAAAGACAATACACTCGATTATCTGAGATAATCTTGTAGCACTTATCTTCTTTCAAGCAACTACTCAAAACACAAGCAGTTCTTAACTAAACATTCTTCATCGGCTTTTGCAATATTTCTTTCAAAAAACGTTGCCAACTTGTTCAAAATAAACTTCTAGCATGTCTAATACAACATCATCTCCATCTACGGTTAATATCGGAGCTGCGCAATTAAATCAGGCAGCATCATTAAGTGTATTGGTTTTATCATTTATCAGTGTAATTCCAGGTGGAATTGGCTTGATATTCAACATTTTAATTTTCACTCGGCCAGTATTACGAAATGAAGCATGTATAGTTTATTTCTTCTCCTCGACATGTTACAGCATATTCATCGTCTTAATTATGCAACCAGTCCGTGTTGTAGCAGCTAGTTTCAATCTAGACCTAGCCAATTATAATCTTGGAATATGCAAGATTCAATGGTATGCATTATATGGCACGCGAGCCATCGCCTCGTGGCTAATTGTTTTAGCTTGTCTCGATCGATTTTTTCATAGTTCATCGAACGCATGTGTTCGTCATTTGAGCTCATTAAAATTAGCCAAAGTCGCTGTTATTATCAGTAGTATGATCATCTATATATCATATAGTCATATGATCGTTTATTACGAGATTACGCATAGTCTTGATCGATTCGGAAATATTTCACCCTCATGCGGAGCACAACAAGGAACTTATCGAACATTCTTTGGTTTCTGGAATATGGTTATGTATTCACTGTGTCCGTGTGCGCTGATGTTCTTGTTTGGTATGTTGACATTGAAGAACGTTCGTCGACATCGGTTTGTAATGCCAGTGATAACTGAAGCGAATCGAGCAGCTCGTCGAACAGATGCGCAAATTCTGCGTATGTTAACTGCGCAAGTGTTCGTGACAATTCTATTTACATTACCTACGGCGTTCAATGATTTATACGCATCTTTTACGAGGAGTTGGGTAAGGAATACATATGAAGTGGCTCAATTAAATTTATTAGGCCGAGTTACAGGTATTATACCGTATTTCGCACATTCAAGTACGTTTTATTTGTATACGCTGACGGGTACAATTTTTCGTCGGGAATTAGTCAAGATTTTTCGACGATGGCTTCATCAGAGTCAAAATATCTTTATTACAACTCAAAACACAGAAGCCCATTAGTATTTAGACTTAACAAACTGTTTTAAAACGCGAAAGGTTTTACAAATTTCAGAAACGACTATTGTTTTCATGCCACTTCATTCTTAATAAACCCTTCTCGGTGACTTATGCTGAAAAAAACATCATATAGACCTAGTCTCTTTTTGCAAGCTGCAATAATCTGTTGACACGTCGAATCATCTAAAACAAGGCTTTGCTTGTCAGACTATTCTGTCAATTTTCAATGTATTTACGATAAGATTTTATTTTAAATTTAGCAAGAAAGTGACAATAAGCCATAATTTTCTTTAATCATAAATTCAATTCGGGTCATGCTGATTCGTTCACAAGCTTCCCAAACAGCAAGTAGTTAACCTCCGGTTAGTTTATTATAAAAATTGAGAACAAATGTTAGTCAACATGTTGATAGTGCACATATTTCATAAGAACTCGAGTAGGTTAAATGGATTTCGTCGCGATTCAATGAGTAATTCGTTAATCAAAGTGCCAATCGTTGTTGATGAAGTGCGGAACACAGACAGACGACTATACGAACATGTCGATGTTCCTTCATATCTCTTTTAAAATCGTTCGTACCTACTCAAATCTGATCTATATACAGTGATGTTTCGCATTTAACCTGATATTGATGTATGAGATAATTTAAATCGAATCCAATCCACCGGTTTTATCAGATATTACTGGAAATAGATCCCGTGTTCTGAGAGTATCACCTTCATTCTCTGCATAGGAGACACGAGACAACGTCTTTGATTAATGAGCGAGAAATCTTTTTCATCGTCATAGAAATCCACTTGTAGAACATAACTATTTAGCCGTTTTATCCTACTCAATAGATTGTGAGTTCTTGTTTTTATCCGTTGTGAAAAATTTGAATTGTTGAAGAAAAGAACAAAATTATATGATCCCGTATTTGTTTCTCAACTATAGTTGTATCTGGGTGATATAATAATTGAATGGTTCGATAGCAGATGTCGTGTGAATGACCTGACATCTATGTTGCTGATAAAAGAAAGCTTATATAGTATGCAGCGCGAATGAAAATACACTCAACTACAGAATAATGCTTTTATATATAAGAGTAGAAACCATATTCGTGCCCAAAACGTTCCCTTAACGAAGTTTACATAATAAGCAATGATTCCATTCATTTTTACACGAGGAACTAAATATTCGATAAGTGCATTTCTTAACGAAGATTCTTTTTTCCCCAACCAAATCACAATCACATCTCCTCTACGAACTAATATAAACATGTTTATCACATACTTTGTTGCATATTGGAAACAGTCTACTTACCATTGCCATAGACGCGNTTATTGAAACGTTTTGAAAGGGAGATAAGTTATCAAAACGAATTAGTACAAGTTGTTTGCCGTCATGATTATATACAGATTCTCCAGTGGTTGCTGTCAAACAAGTACATCACCTGTAAGTTTTGAATAATTAGAGAAAACTATATAAGCTTTCATATATCATTTAGATCAAGCGTTGGAGATCAGAAATTATGCGGGATATTCACCATTATTAACTGCGGCCTTTTACGGATCGGAGAAGTGTATTACATATTTCATTTACGTAAGGACATTCTCGAATGATTTTTACATGTCGTCGTCGTTCTTCTTGTTGTAGAATTCCAACATCAACTGGAGGGTGCAAAACGATGACGGTCAAACAGTCTTCCATATTCTAGCTAAACATACGAGAGGCCGTGATATATTGGCAATGATTTGCAAACAAATCAAACTGAAAGTACCTGATGACATGATAATGAAAGATAGTGAGGGTAACACGCCTCTGCACTATGCAACAGACGCCAATCTTCAAGAGATGTGTAAACAGTTAATTAGCATGGCCAACAGTGGAATCAAATCTTTGTCACTGAGTGCAGATATGATCGCAACAAAAAATGATCTCGGTCGAACGCCTGCGCATATCGCAGCTGAGAAAGGGTTCACGGGTATCCTGAAAGACTTTTGGGATGCCAGCAAAATGAGTCATGTGAGCGGATTATTTAGATTAGACGATGAACGAAAATCTTGCCTTCATCTCGCTGCCGCCAAAGGTAAGATCGTTATTCATGAGGTTGTTCGTCTAACTATATATATTTAATAGGTCATTGCGAAGTGGTCGAATTTCTGCTAGATGAAGTCCACATGGAAGTAGATGTGATTGCTGATCGCCGTACTACTCCTTTGCATTTAGCATGCCAGTACGGTCATCTGAAAGTTGCAAAATATCTTCTTGAACGTAAAGCATCTCCGACATTGCGAGATGCATCCTTATATAATTGTTTGGAAATTGCTATTATTAATCGACATGATAGTTTAGTTCGGGAACTTTTCGAACATCCATTATGGCGTCACATGATGCGTAACGCACAACCAATCAAGGGAACCAAAGCCTATGATACACCTATGCGCAAATTGATTCGATATATGCCACACATTGTCGTATATGTAATTGATAACAAGCTAACTCGAACTGTCGGTAATCCGGGTCAAAAAGTTCACAAAAGGACATATGATTATGAATTCTTTCAAGACGAACTGGCGATTAACCAATGGTACACACAAGGTACTGTGCTTGATCCACCCTCCAATACCTTCTCGGAGCGTTGGAAACAATTGAGTTGGAGTGAAACTGTCCGATGCGTCTGCTGTTGTTTTTGCTGCTCCAGCTTAGACCGACAAGAAAAAAGTATTATACCGTATACCAACAATAGTTATGTTTTAGTACGCAATCATCCATTATTTATTGTTGCTCAACAATCATCGTGCTCTGCACTTGTCCATCATCCGTACAACATTCAATTACGAACAGAGAAACTATATTTGTTCGGTATTTACTTTTTACTTTTGTCCTTTCTGCTTTACTCAGCTTATCTCGGCATATTCACTACGCTTGTTCTTCAAGGTAAACATCCACAGTATTTCTATAGTTTAATCAACGTGAACTACACGGATGACTTGGGCACATGTGAACGAGTATCGAGAGCTCTTGTCAATGCCAACCAAGCAGAGGCACTGAAGACGGACGCTCATCGAACACTTCGATGGGTTGCATTTGCGTTTCTATACGTGTTCATTGTGAAAAATCTCATTCTAATTGCCAGTCTTTTTCCAAAAATATTGCGTATGGGTGCGAATTATCTTGAAATCTCTGTTCTTTTACTCTCGTTTGGATATATATTCGACTGGTATGATTGGCTTGGTCCGGTCATATTCCGCTGTCCTGTTCAATATCAAATCGGTTCATTCGCCGTTCTTCTCGCTTGGATTAATTTTCTTACTTACCTTCGATACGTTCCTTTTCGTAATATTGGCGTCTATGTCGTTATGCTCCAAGCGATTCTTCTAAAATTTCTGGAATTCTTGCCTGTTTTAATGACAATTATCTGCGGATTTGGTTTTAGCTATTGGATGTTGCTACAAAATCAGTCGGTATACAAGACGCCAATAGAGGCGTTGATTCGTACGAGTTTAATGATGTTCGATCTCGGATATGAAGATCGACTTTATAAT